ACAGGCCAGTGTGAAGCGTAAATTTTCTCTTCTGGGAGCGTTATAAAAATATCCGAAATTCGAGCGATAAAGCAGACGAGAGGCACGGGGCAGTGAGAGAGAGAGGGGGTCGTCGTGTTACGGCCGCAGGCTGCGTGTATCTCATTATCTCGCTCCTGGGACTCGGGTCAGAAAAGAATGCGAGAACACAGCGTTATATATATTATCAAGAGCTAATAATACCTCTTATTAGCTCTTGATATTATTATTAGCTGATTGATTGATTTGATATTATTATTATTGATATTATTAGCTCTTGATAGTATTATTAGCTCTTCGATTATTCGCGAATAAGAAGAACGCGCGGAAGGGAGAGCAAGTGAGCGACAAGAATAGAACAGGAGAGAGAGAGTACGAAAAAGAGATAAAGAGGTGGATGGATGGAAGGATGGATGGATGGATGGATGGATGGATGGATGGATGGATGGATGGATGGATGGATGGATGGNCTCCAAGATGATATACTACCACATGTGTCTAATAGTGCTATATCTGTGTATGGATGAGCAAACATATGAGTGTGTATGATTGATGTGTGTATGTAGGACTTAATGTTTAAAATTGTATGATGGATGTTCTCGTCAACGTCTGAATCACTAACAAATGTTGTTGTTTGTCGGTTTTATTATATTGATGGCAAGTACACTCTCAAGAGTGTTTGTGTCATTCAAGCAGGTGCAACTTAAATTGATTATGTCACGAATTCTCTATGGTGTATATTTGTAATAGTTTTGTTGCAATTTTTTTTACATGAAAGTAAGGACCAACGGAACTAAATGTATCATCAAATTCTTACCTGATAAGATTGTTTTTTTCAACTAGTTAAAAATCCAAAAAATCTGTGCTGATTTATTGATCACGACATTAAATGCTTGCTATGGGCTATACATGTATGGGTCACGAGTGTTTGTTCACATCGAACAGAACAGCAAAATAGAAAGTATAATGCAGCAATCTAACCATAAAAAGTGAACAGAATCACTTACATTTTGTGAAAAAGTTTACTTTTTTTTTAAACTTTTATTATTTACGGTGACGTAAGCACTTTAACGAGAGCCGTGACTGGCTGTAAACTAAAGTGAAAGTGAGTGCTCGCTAAGGACAGTAGCACCCAGCGGTGTAAATGGTGATAACACGTGACTGTCTTACCTTCTCGCCATAGTTGGATCGTATGCTAATGACGTTGTGTGTTGGGGAGAGGTCGACCACTTCCCCTGGGATCGGGTAGCCCAGGCCTGGATCAAACCACACCAGCGCCCCCTGCCGACGAACAGAGATTGTTAATGTGTGTATGCATGCCGTTCTAAACGGATAGGTGAGCGTAGAGAGATATCTGTCCTCGTCGATTCATCGATCCATACGTCTACCTGCCTGCCGATATTAAGCTATATATATATA